TCTTTGGCATCAAGCCAATCTGATGTGTTTGGAGGAAGAGAAAGGTGTTAGACCCAGAGAACACCCTCACTGCAGGCAGTGACATTATGCTTTGAGATTACTTTTCTTGTTAAGGGGACATGTTAACTTCACCTCAAATGATGGATTGATGTATTGTTACATTATTAGCTATAATTTATTTTCAATTTTTTTAAGTATTCTGTCTTTGGGTCCTAGTGTGCTCCATTCTTAAGGTGATATCTTTGGATTGCCTACCTAATGTGTTTCAAAAGGACAACCAGGTTCTCAGAGCCAACCGAAGCTTCATTTCGCTTGGCCCCCTAAATCTGTATTTGTTCCCCGTTTTCTGTGATCTTTGTGAGTACAGTGAACACTTCTATTTGCCTGTAGATGTGAGGATAAACAACCATTTTCTTTAATGATTGCTCTCCTGTTTTTTGTTAGTTTATTATTGTGTTTTGGTTTATTTTGAAATTGAGTTTTGTTAAACAATTTTCTCTGTTTTTATATAAATAGCAAGTTTCCTAAATATTTAGCGACTTGTAGCATATTTTTCTTTTATTTAATGTTGCAGCCCACCACCTCGATGGTAGGCATGATGGATGAGAATCCACCATGCATCCTTTGGCATGCAACAGAATATTGACCTTTATAATCACAAACTTCATAAACATAAAAAAAAATAATGTAGTTATGACATTTCTTCATATATATATTCCATGTTAAGATGCTGTATGCGCATGTTTTTGGCTATGGTGCAGAGCAGCACAGATCATTATCATTATCTTGGATATCCACATGCCTAAACCTTTGCAGCCACAATCACTGTTTATCAAGTCTACCAAGTACATGAGAAGCCATTATGACACTAATTGCCCAAGAGCTCACTTTTCCACCGACCTGAGGGGTTATGTACGACAATGTGCTTCGAGAGTCATTTGTCTTGTCATGAATTAAGCTGTGGTACAGCTTTCAAGACTACAGTGAAACACCACTGTCCCTCTCCATTTATAAATAATTTATTTGTGGGGATTTTAGAGCTCCTAGACATTTTACTCAGACATTTTAACTGTGTTGGATTGTGTTGGAGGGGCAATAAAGCACATAATCCTCAAACCAATATTTCATTTCATTATTTGTTTTCATGCTCAATTTAACTTATTTGTGACCAGATTTCATTTATCAAGCTTAAATTACTCCATCAAAGAACCAAATCATATTACTAATCAGTTATTTACTAGTATACACAGACAGTCACATCAAATTCTTGTGTACAGTGTAATTTTAGCAGCAGATATGCCATGTCATTGACTGGTAAAGTTGGAGTTAAATGAGTTCAGAATTTACTAGAGATGTACCAATCCCATATCAATATCTGTCAGTCCCAATACTGAAAAAAAATTCTAGATTGGGTATTGGTGACAGTGTGCCTGATCCATAAGGACAGATCTATTCAGTCTAACTCTATGCTTCCTGCTCTGAGCAACATCATAAGTCATTATTTACTTTACATTACATTTAGAAATTCTAACTGAACTTTCTGAACCATTTGAAAGAAGATTTGTTTCAGTTTATTTTTCCATGTTTGACCAAGCTGTCAACGTATCTTTGTCAATTTTAGGTTGCCTGTTATATTAATACAAATTGCACTGGCTGAACAAGTTAAAGTTGTGTTGATTTTTCATGTTTGACCAAGCTTGTGAAGTTATTGGTGTATGTAAGTGTGTTGTACTGGTGCAGTTATCAAATAAATTTGTAATTCAACATATTTATGACTGTTTAAAAAAAAAAAGTTTAAATTGAATTCAGCACTGTTTTTCTATATCACATAAATACCAGCTGATACTAAACCTCAGATATCTGACCCTTAGATATCTGCGAGTAGCTATCGGAAGTGAAAAGAGTGGATAAGTGCATCCCTAGATTTTACTTGGTAAACTGGAACTAGTTCCTGACATCTAGCAGATATAATATGTATGTCCCAGCCAAACCTTAAGGGCAAAATCATATCCAATCATTTAAAACATCGACAGAGTCCACACCTCCAGCAAGCAATCATTTCCCAATAGACATAAAAGCTAAAACATCATAGTTATTTAAACTTTCTCACAAAGCTCCAAAATTACACAAAGTCAGTTTTTATCATTTAAAAAATTTCCTTTATTTGGAAAACACTGTTACACTGTGTACAAAATATGAATCATTGTGAATAACAAAACAGTCTAAAAACAATTAAAACCTCAGGAATAAAAATCTCCTAGGAACACTACAAGACCAGGAAAAGACATTTTATTTATTTTTATTTTTTATTTTTTTGCAGTTTATAATATTTTTATTTTGAGAACATAATATCCTCATGATTTAGTGACAATAATGTGCTTTTTTTATAAAACGTCTACAGGGATTTCATGACATCGTAGCAATACCAAATTCAATCAGCTTAGTATGATTATTTTAAATCATTTTGAAAATGTAAAATTTTCCACACAGTTTTATATGTCTTTATGCTGTACACTTGAAGAAATGAAAATTAAGTAGTGTTGGAGAAAATATCAAATAAGGATGAGTCATTTCTTCACTCTCTTCTGTCACTGTCACCATATTAAAAATGGTGGTTGCTGCTTTGCTAATCGTAACGAAGGAGAGAAGTGAAGAAATGGCTGCGTGACAGATGGAGGGCTTTCCCCAGATGTGTTTTGCATACATTCAAAAAGGCTGAATTGAATTTAAACAGTCCTGGTTTTTATTTTGAGACCGGAAAGAAATGAACGCAGCCCTGTGCGTCTTGATGCAGGAGGTTAATGTGTGTCTGTACTCAGTTGTCAAATGTAATTGAAGGGAACAGCTTAAGAAAATGAGGTGGCGAGGATGAGGCCTTTAATTAGATCAAGATCATGGACAGAAATGAATTAGAATCACCGCTCTCATTACCCACAGCAAAACTGGAGCAGCACAGCAGTGAATACATAGGAAAACTTTCATATCCCTGAGACACAGTTACCATGTAAATTGAGATTTTAAATAGGGGCGGCTTGTTGTTTATCTCATTACTGAGCGGGGATATATGAGCAAACCCATGGTTTTATTTGTATTAATCTGCGTATTTCCACACCCTGGTGGCATGTTTTCTCTCATAAACTCAGAGGTCTCATTATTTCTAAATATTGTTCTGTTTGGCTGCAGAAAACTACATGGAACACTAGAGCCATCTGGTGGTAAGGTAGCTTGAATGTACAAAGAGCAAATAAAGTAAAAAAAAAAATGTTTACAGTTGTATCGAATTAGAAACTAATCACATAAGTTTTTTCAATCATTCAATTCAAGTTAAAATCATAAAGATTCTTTACATTCAGGAGGATGAATTTCAAGCATTTATTTATGTTACTTATGATCATAAAAGTTTATAGCCAATTAAAACAAAAAAATAATAATTTTAATAGGGAATTAGAATATTACATATGACCAATAAAAAAAAATTATGAGGAGGCATGTAAAGTGTTTTTATTTATAGTAATTTAGGAAATCACAGATTGAAATAGCTTTTATGATTCTCACCATACTCGTGCAACTGGAAAGAAAACAAATTTGTCCTTGACTGAGAAATTAAGGAAAGGTAACAATATGTCTATATGCTTGAAACTGGAGGAATCAAACTGTTACTCCAAAACAAGACAGTCAGTTTTTCTGTTTGTCAGAAAACAACAATAAACAGGGTTATACTTTACAAACATGATAAAATGGAGAGTGTACAAGTGTTCTTATGCACTTCTTGTATCAAGTGTACATGAACATACATTAAAGGCTTGTCTTTGATTGTAGCTTTATAGCTGCATTGTTGGGTCTCATCATTTTCATCTTCCCTGAATGTTATTAGCATCTAATTTACAATGAATTGCAATTATTTGATAATGAATGAATGTATGATTTGTATACTGCAGGATAATTGATTGGTCTTGATAATGGGACCAACCAGGTATATTAACTATGGAAACAAGTATTGCTTTTTAGCGGTTCCAATAATTAAACATTCCTCTTATATGTAAGTGCATATACATCAGTCCTGTCATCTGCATCCTTTTGACATGGTTTGCTTGGTTTACTTTTCCAAACCCTTCTGAACGTTTATGTATTTTAGCGGTAGCCACCATTAGATGTCATTCTGGAGCAGGTCACAAAGCAAGCATGGATTTTAGCAGATGATAATGATGTGTTGTCTTTAGTGTGTGTAGTAGAGGCAAGTGGTTTTCAGTAAATGGGGCTTCATCATTTCTGATGGCCAACATTTTTTACCCTCGACATTGAGCAGAAACCCACCACAGTTTTGCCAAGTCAAAATGTCACATTTACAGTCTACTCCCTTGGTTCACTCTATGATTTGATACTAGGATGTTGTTTTTAGCGAGTTAGAGAAATCGAGGTTTTCAATCAAATATGAAAGCGAGTATGCTGCCTGGAGCGATGGAAGATATCTGCAGCATTCAGCAAAAGGGGCTTGAAACCATTGTACCTGCACAAATGGATGTGTCAGTGAAGCAGAACAACAAAAGTCATTTTCAAGAGACTCAAGCAAAATCGGAGGGTATAATAATGGATTTGTTGAAGGGAAGCTGTAAAGTAACCCTTTTCTTTCAGGTTGGCCATGTTTACAGCAATGTGAAAGAAGAAAAAGAAGCACACAATATACCTGATTTATATTAACTTATATTAACTCTTAGTGTTTTGCATCAACTGTTTGTTTCATGGAATGCACTGTAAAATTGACTTCAACTTTAAAAACTGCACCAGAGAAGCATTACACTCTCATAAACCAAGTCAGATAATTAGCCTGCCTGTGGCAGTTCTCTTCATAGAGCATACGTCAAACCTCCTCCGACAGCATTATGGTTCCAGTGCCTGAAACTGCATTCTGTTGTCTTCAAATCAGTAGGAAGATCTAATAAAGCATCTGTGTTCCTTGCATATCTGTGGCTTAAACTGTTGTTTTGTGTTAGCAGCTCAGCTGGGAGAAGCAGTGGGGCACATTGAGAGCATGTCATTACAAAGACGTTTTGACGCTTCCAGTTCAAAGTGGAGATGGGGAATTTCTGCAGCATCCATGTCAGCTTGAAATCACAGGTAGGGTTCCAGCAACCGCACATTGGGTGTAATCATTTAAGATGAGAATGATCAGTTTCCATTGTAATGCTCATATTTTTCTGATATTTTGTAATGTGTTTTGGTGTTTTGTTTTCTTGAAATGGTATTGAAATAGTGCGTCTAAGTTTTACATAACATATTTTGGGAGTAAAACTAAACTTTGCACTTTTAAACTTATGCAAAGTTTAAAAGTGCAATGTTTTGATAGACTGTGTTGCACTGGATTAATCTTCCTCTAGCTCCTTTCTGCTTAAGTAGAACTGGTGCTGCTTTGCAGTAGTTAACCTGATGCCTAAATGCCTTTGATTGGATCTGATCTTACTGGGGCATAAGAGTAGACGGAGATAAATACAAAGACAAACCATATTTCTAAGATTTTATTTGGAATAACACCATTTTGAAAAGTATGCATAATTATGTGCTAATCATTATTTGATGATTTAACTCATGACTCAAGGTTCCAAAATGACATATGTGAAATAAAGTTGAAAGGGATTGAAATACTTTTACAAGGCACTGTGAGTGAAAGTTTAATAAACCAATTAACCTGACAGGCTGCATTATAGTTACATAATTTGTTTATTAATACTGTAAAGAACACTCCTTGCAGGTAATCTGTGTCCATGGTGTCTCCTCAGCTTGTAGAGTGTTGCTGCTGCAGGATGATCAGAGGGTTCTTAATAATTTGTGTCTGAACATCCCTGTGGAAATGAGCCCCAGGAAAAATGCTCCAGAAATGGAACAAATTGGCTGAAAGGTGCATCATTTTTTTTCTCTTGCCACATGTTTTTGCAGTTGGACACAAATATTTCTTGATTATGTGACAGTTTTATTTCAGTTTCACCACTGGGAGTTGTTATACACAAAGGATGTTCACTTCTCAAGGTAAAAGACCATCCTTACTGTAATACTCATCGCATTGTCATTTCTGATTAGATGTCAACAGTGTTTCTTACTGCAAGGGTCTTATATGCGGTGGGTGGTCAGGATGAGGTTTTAAACATGTCAATTATTTGCATGACAAACTGATTCTGGGGCTCTGGAAAGTCATAGATTTCAAGGGAAACAAAAATCACTGACAAATGCAACAGTTTAGACTAGGGTTGCATTCACAGCCACCCTGCTTAGTCCACTTTAATCAAGCTGCAGTTTGGGAAGGTGAGAATCTGTAACCAAACTCTGGTCCCCCTAAAAATCTAAGTCTCAGTTTGATTAAAGTGAACTCTGGTGCAGTTTGAATGCATATGTGGATGCAAGCGGATCGAAGGCGACTCCAAATGTAGGAAGCAGACTATAGCGCAGAGCATTCTGGGTAAATATAACCAAAACAAATGTGAGAGTCTAGCGTCAGCAGAAGACTTGTCACCTTTCATCAAAGACAAAAGAGAATTCCTACGACTGCAAAAATCTGATGCCATTTCATTTTTGTTAACTTTTTGTGATAAAGGAAGTTGCGCTTCTCCGAAGGTTTTAGTGTTGCTCCTTTCTGTGGTTTTTGATGCAGCGCCCCCACAAGTGAGGAGGTGCAAATAGATTTTTCAAAGGGTTTGGATCATTAGACACATTTCAGTGTGAAAATGTAACGAATGTTGCAATTCTGGTCCCTAATCGAACCAAGTCTACTGAACTGTCAGGCGTGAAATTAGAGACAACTTGAAGCCACAACCTCTCAGTCTTTAGTTTTTTATAATCTAAAAGACACTTTGATGGTGGATTTACATTCAGAAGATTTCATTTACTTGCTAGTAACTTCTTCAAATATTTGAATTTAACCCTCGTACGATCTTAACATTCTGTTTACTCCCCTTTTCCTACGGGTCAAAAATGACCCAACCTAACAAAAACCCCAAAATTAAGCAGCTTACTTGAATTTGAAATCCAAAATCTATTTTGCGTGATGAAACAACCTGTTATTTATCAATTCAACTCAATTTAATTCATTTTTATCATGTCGGTCCGATGTTGTGGCGTTTACCTCGCAGTGACCCCTATTCAGCACTGGAACCCAGTCTGGATTGAGCTAATCAATTTCATACGTCGGTTTGGCTTCAAGAGGACATATCAGAACACACATCAGTATGAATATTGTAAATTTGATAACACTAGTAAAATAGTTTACTTCACAAAAATGTAATAACCTCGATGTCCACTGACAAAACTCGGACTATGCTACATAAACAATATTAGCCCGACCTAAACAAGGTTGACCCACTTAAATGAACTCAACATAAACGGAACATGAGAACACCCGGACAAAATCATAGCAAATAAATTATGACACAACACCAACAAAGCGAATTTAGACACTCACCAGAATGGAAATGTCTGGAGCAAACTTGTAGGTATCTGGGGATGTTGGAGAACGTAATATCAGGACGTCTCAACCACTGACACCAGGACATTTGTCTTCTTTTCGTTAGCTCCGATAGCTTAGCCTCCTCGCGTTGTTTCCAAGCAGGAAAATACTGAAACAAAAGTCCGTTTTACATCTTTTTATCTTTTTAGTCGTGTGATCGGACATTACACCCAATAACGCAGCAAGTTTGTGCCATAGCTAAAATATCTGTCAGACAGTTGTTTTTGTTGTTGGCAACAAAGATGGCGCTGATACCCCTCCGACTAGAGCAGTGACGTCACGCTCCGAAGCTCTATTGTTTATTGACAAGCATCGTATTGGAATTTTATTAGCCGCAAGCCATAAACATTCTAATTAAGCCAAATAACCTTGTCCAATAAATCAATGCAAGCTTCACTGATAATCTAATTTACTGAGGTTCAGCAATTCACTCATCTTTTAGATGACATTCATCCTCCCATCCTCTCTTCACAGCATAGAGAATGAGAAATTTTACAGCACAAGTTAACCTTAAGGCCCCCTCTCATTCCCATCTGTTTTGTTGAAAAACCTGAACTCTGCAGTAGCGCAATGTCAAACCCATTCGCCTTGATCTTATTTCTTATTTGTTACTCAGAAATGAAAATAGCTTGTGCAAGATTCTGACTGACAGCATCGAGTCCCATTTGAGCAGTCTGACATCTTATTGACTCCTTAATGTCACTATCTCTTAAAGGAGTATTTGCTGTACTCCTTTAAGAGCCTAAAATAGAAATCTTGTAGAGTGTCTATCCTTCAGCAGGTAGTATCTCATCTGCAGTGAAATAATATCAGATTCAGCTCCTGTGGCAACATCACACAGTGGCTTGTCAGCAACACTAAGTATTTTGTTTTACCACAAATTACATTTAATACCATTTATGATATTATTTATAAATGACCAGAGTTCATATTCTTATGGAAATTGTGAGGCTTGATTAGCCTAAAAGAGTGATTTAAGAAAAGTAACAGTTAAACAGATCTTGTACTGAGTGAAAGCTGAACATATGTGTAAAGAAAATCAAGATTTTGACCCAAACCATTCACTGGCTCTGTCAATACAACTTTAGTGTGCACATAGGCTAAGGCCTGTGTGAAAATACTATTCAACTGAAGCAACTCACTCTTCACTTCCACAGCAGCTAAACTTTGCTCCAAATGCAATCACAACATGTCACCCACTACAGAGAAAACCCACTCACCCGTACTGTGACCTGCAAGCCACAGATCAACATTATCCTGACAAAAATCTCATTTTTGTCACTGATAACAGTTCCAGTAGAATGGTTGTGAAAACAAAAAAAATTATCTTAAAAATGTGACAAGAGATGGAGGATTGTTAAAATGCATCAGACAGTACTGCCTGATTTGAACACTTCTTTTACAGACTGTATGACCTTTCACTCTGGGGTAGTCCAGGTGCTCCTGTTGCATAATTTTCTAAAATACCATTCTAGAAATAACTGTGATAAGAACCAAGCACCTGCAGGGGTAAGTAACTACAGTGTTTTTTTTGTTTTTGTTTTTTTTTTTAAAGTATTACCTTCTTAGCTAATATCAGTAACATATAGCCAGTGTCATATAATGTCCATTTTCATGAGCAGGTTGATCACTGCAGTTTCCTCCAAAAGTAAAATCAATTCTTTAATGTTTTAGCAAAGATACTGGTCCTTTTTATTTTAATTAATCTTTTTTTTTTTTTTTTCCTTTTCGGTTGTCATAAATATTAAGACATGTGGTTAATATTCATGACGTACTCAGACATTAGATCTCAGATTTGAGACTGAGTTGAATGTCTCGTGGTTGCATTTCTGAAAACAAGTGGGATTTGTAGTTTGTTGTGACACCACATACTATCATCAATAGGAGCCAAAAAGAATATGTTTCCTTCAGTTATTTTACACTAAATATTTTACATGTATTATGCGACCCATTGATTTCATTAGTTGCAAACAGCAAAAAGTTCTATAAAGAAACAAAAAACAGTATTTTCGACTAAGTTTCACAGAAACTGAGTTCAGGACTGCTCAAGGACGGCTGACATTTTCATTCAGAATCGGTATTCTTGCTTCCAGCGTTTTACTTGGGAAACCTTATTTCCAGGTAAAAAGTAAAAAGGGAAAAATAATTTTACTGTTGCACCATTAACACTCATGAACATACAAGACAACAACTTTTGAACAACTGTTCACACCAGACTGCTACATATGCATGGTTTGGATATTATTTTGACACCTATGCACTGAATGGAAAACTTGTTCATAAAAAAATAAATGGTAAGTGGACAGAATTTATTCTACATTTACACACCAACATTCAGCTCGGTAGGGAACTTAGGATGAAGTGCCTTGCCTAAAGGCACATCCACAAACTTCCAAATGCTAGACAACTTCTGCACTCACTAAAATACAGTCATCTTGAATTTTGTTCAGGAAAGATAATTATGTGTTATTCATATACCCATCCAACATAATCCGACTAGGTGCACTCTACATAACCATGCACAGATAAACTGGAAAGGTATTTCTATTAACGAATATACATCTGGGGTTCAGATACATTGATTTTCATATTTACACAACATTTAAAATCACTTTTCCCTTTGACATTAATGCATTTATTCTCTAATGACATAAATATGCTTGTCTTCACTTGAAGAGTTTAAAGTTGTTCAACCATCTAAGAAGCTATGAAGAAAAATACATTTTTCCTGTTAGTGTACAACTATAAGTAAATAAAGTTGTACCACACATCAGAGCCATTTACACTGTGCAGATCGTTTTTTTTTATTATTATTTTTATTTTAATTTAGATCCTCCTAGTTATCATTGAATCTTGCTGTATTTGCTTTTGTGCAGGGGTCTGTTCGGGCATGCAGCTGGCAGTGGGAGAGTTCGCGCACAACATTGTTAGATTGGGAAGGTGAGGCGAAGACCAGGTGAAGGAAAAGTTATAAAGTAAACCTTTTGTTCTACTTTTTAAAAATTCATTAGTGGGGGGAAAACACTGAGAAGCTGTTGGGAAACAGAGTTGATCTCACTTTCGCTTGTTGTTTACAGATGCCAAATCCACTGAACTTAACCCAGAAACCAAACACCCTGTGGTATGCTGTCTTCTTTTTCACACTGTGCTCATATTACATTATGTCAGCAGGGAAGGCTTGGCGTTCTATTTGATCTTGACAGGTGAATGACATGCCAGAGCACAGCCTGGGATAAATGGGAGGGAGTGTGAGATTTGGAAAGAGGGCAACCATTTCAAATCCAACTGTGTAGCTAAGTTTAGTTTATTTAAGGATCCCCATTAGTTGCTACCACAGCAGAGTTATTCATGTGGTCTACACTACAAGCATTACAGAAAAATTCCGATATTACAGACATTAAAAAAACACCACAGAAAAGCCTACAACGCACAAATGCAAGTCAAAAGTATAAATCAATAAGTATATTTTCAAAGAATGTTAAAACGAATAATAACAGTCTACACTACGTGAAATCAACTCAAATTGAATTCAATATTATTTCATAATTGCATTATAGATTTTTAAGATTGTTTTTAAACCTTTCATGATCACCAATCAATGTAATTTCAGAATCCAACATGTTCATTCATAGTGATTTATTGTTGTTGGAGGAAAACTATAAAGTGATGAAGAATTTGTTGAAGAGAGACAGACACAGACTTCAGTTAAACACTAAAACATGTCTCTAAAGGTTTTAGTATCACTATGAACAACAATCTATTTATAAAACATACTATTTAAACATGGAAACATATTTTAGAGTTTTATATCCTTTCCAGGCATTGTTCAGAAACTGTTTATATTGTACAAAACAAGAACCACTTCTCCAAACTGCTTTGGCTCACTGAAATCTTCTGTCATTAAAGGTAAATTCAGAGCTCAAGTACCACTTTGAAAAAAAGGACTTCATTTTTTTAAGAAGAAAGAGTGGAGGTCATTGAGGAGATCATACTAAATAAAGGTCTTTTTTTCCTGCTGTTATGAAATATGAGTAATGGAAAAATCTTACAGATGCCACCATGTACCTGCATGGTTTAGCCATATGCATGTGGTGAAATTAATCATGTTGTAATCATTTCCTTAATACTCTCCCTGATGTTTCAGGTAATTGTTATTTTCTTGGAATTTCATTCAGATTTTACATTTTGCCCCATGAAACTCTCTGCTCCATCTACGTCTTGGAAAGGCCGTAGGAAAACCCCAGAGCTACCTGTCTGGTGGCCTTTGCTTTTTTAAATGGTAAAAAATTATTGTGGACCTCAAATCAATAACTAAGTAAAATTGACTTTTGCTGTTTAGCTAAAGCAGTTCTAGAAGGCACACATCACAATTTTTACAACTTTTCCTTTTAACTTCTACTTTGGGATTATTGCTTACAACAGTCATTTTCACTACCACAAACAGTAAAATAAAATTGAAAGAAAGAAAACAGGCAGTGGTCCATAAAACAATGGTCACCCAAGAAGAAGGTAGTGATAGCAAAGTCTTGATTATAGTTCATACGGATCAAATCTATGAGGCATTTTCTTCCTGTGAGGAAGTAAGAGAAATGTTTTAAAGGACAGAAGCTTGGAAGCCCACTGATCTGGACCCAAAGATTTAAAAGGGCTGTTTAACCTCCCTTTAATTCATCAGAGTGAGGGGCAAAACAGCAGCATTCAGACAGATGTTGTAATTTATGCTCTGGTTCTGACATGTGTCGATCTGACGTGAAGAACCAACCCGTTTTTCAACTGTCACCAAAATACTCTATTAGGAGGAGCCAACACACACTCCATAATGGAACTGTGGCTATGGGTTACATTAGCACGGGAACCATATATGTTGGTATCAGCTATGAACTTAGCGCTAATTTCAGCCACTATGAATTCCATCAGTCTTGGCGCAAATGAATACATACAGCTAACTGTCCTACACATAATCAGTTGTGTTTTATTTCTAAGGGTAAAACTGTAGTAAAATGATGTAGATGCCAAGTCCAGGTCCAGGAAAGGTCCTCCTATGAAACATTGCTATCCCTTCTGAAAGCAATACGTTTTGCCATGATTTGTTTGGTAAAATATTCTGAAAGTCATCCTTTACTGCTATATGCGCAATTTCACAGGAAGAGCTCAGAAATAAACACTGTTTAAATGCTAATATTCTTTGAAGCCAGTTTTGAGTTTAGCACTACATGCCATATTTTGTTATCACAGAAATTTCAATGGCTCCATACCCCTGTAACATTGAATCACCTTCAGCGCGATAGGTCAGACCTCTCACTGTAAGTGTGTGGGACTGGTATCACCTGATGTACGACACATGGTGGATGTGATTGGATCTGAGGAGAGCATAGTTCGAGTCACTTAATCAAAATAGGTATGAATCAAAAGAAGATAAGCTAATGGAGAGTTTGGCTCAATGAGCATAAGACCTTTTTTTTTGTAAATGGTGACATTCTAAATGAAAACTTTACATACTACTGGTTGCTATATGGACGACCGCCATCTGCTGGGTTATGATTTATAGGATTTTTGCTTGATGAGTTCAAGGAGAATTATTATATTTTTACTAATTTTCTACTGTTCTTTCCCAGCTTACTATAGTTTACATGCTTCTTTCCTGCTCTATGTGCTTTTCAGCATTTTCAGCAGGAGTTCAGCAGATCTGATCTTGATGTATTTTCCCTCTTTGGGATCAATAAACATTTTCCTAATGAATTATTTCAAAATGTAATTTCTGGAATGATGTAACTGGGTGTGGTTGGGATCTCCTCTATTTAGTTTATCAAGCTTGTTTGAGGCTATAGTGACAAAGAAAGGAGAAATAACTTCATTACCCGGATTTAGCCGTACTTTTATTCAAAGCCACTAAGAAATAAGAAGTTTCTTAGGAAGCTGTGATAAATTTGGTTCGAATAGGACAAAAAATTTAGTATCTTTATGTTATAAACCGGGGATGGAATTCAGCGAGTAAATAATTTATTTCAAGATGTTAATTTTCACTATTACATTTATGTGCTGGTACTGAAAAAATAGCTTTTGTATAATTTATCCCTGAGTTATAAACATGTCTGCACATTTGCATTTATTTTGTTCTCCTCCGCATATGAACTTCTAAAGTTGATCTGAAGTTTAAAGATGACCTCAACAACTTTTAATTATAATCCCAATAACTTAAAATTGTGCCTGCTTTTATCATTTGCAAGTTACAATATGATTATATCATGGTTACAGATAAGAATTTAATGCAAATTTTATAAAATATAAGCCTAATTGACCTTTGGATAAACTAATAACCAGGATGGATGTAGCTATACATTTAGAGCTTAATTGCTTAATAAATGGATAGGCATATAACTGAATTAAAAGAGCAATGAGTGTTGAAGCTAATGTCTATTAACACTGCAATATTTTATCACTGTAGACACCATGAAATGATCAGTGACAAGTACAACTGCTATTTTTCTTATTCCACAATTTTTCTCTTTTATTTCTGGGAAACTTATTGCAACTGCAACATTTGCAAAACTCTGGAAGTGGATGTTGATGAGCAGCTGAGTTTGATTTTTCGGTTTTGGACAACCACAATCCAGAAAAATCAGGATATTTTTTTTTTCTAAACAGATGCAGCTGAAGAACATTTCAATTTATTTTTATCTTAAATCATTTTTAGGGGCAGAAATAGCATAAGTGGATGGAGAACAGGTTATTGAATGCAGGCAGGGGAACAGGCAATGCAGCAAACATAATCACTTATGGGATAATGGAGGAATCCAGCAAAGAACAATAAAAGATCCAGGAGTTTAAAAACAGGGGAGAGTAAGTGTAGGGAAGAGGCGGGTGGTTGATTACTAACAGGTTTTAGCTGGAAAAGGAGGTAAACAGGTAGACTGTGGGGAAAGGGCTGATTACCTCTTTGAACTGAACTGAGGCACAAAGAAACTACAAACCAAGGGGAAAATAACATCACTGATCTAAAAATCTGAATCCAGTGAAGAACAAAACACAAGGAAAAATACTGAAACTGATTTTCAAAGGCATTAATCTATATGACAAAACATTTCAATAAATCACAAATACAGGAATAGAACAGAATTTGCAAAACCTAATGAATATAACAAAAAGGAAAAAACAAAAAAAGAGATGCTCCAAACAAAAACAAAAATGAAACCAAACAGAAAGATCATAACAACCTTCTAGAATACAGCAAAGATAAGGCGTGTAAAACCAAAGTCAGTGCTTTTGTGTGTAAATTATAAACCCAGAGCTACAATGAATAATAGGTCTGGCTGTATTTAGATAAAGTTATATTCTTGTGACACAAGTTGTATATGTGTTTTGCCCTTTTCAGCCAACATTAGTTACTTTAATCAACATCTCAGAAATGAACTGTTTCCAAGGCCAATGTCAATCAATGCAGTTAAGCTAAAACTTCCATTTAATCTCAGAATAACTGCTTTAGTAATTTTTTTTTTGTTGGTGGTGATAACATAAACTCACATAATCTTCTATGATAACCTTTAAATATATGTGCAATGAACTGATGCTGTCATCTTTCCCAACATGGTGTCCATTAGTACTTTATTTTTGAAACATTGTTAGTCCCCCCAAATGGTTGTAGAGGTAAGCATATCAACGAAGAACAAAAGTTAGAATAAAAATATGTGCTTTTTATAGGAGCGTCCAGAGTTTTAGAAAACTAAAAACAATAAAAGCTGTAAGGGACCAGACTTAAACAAGGGCAAAATGTGTTCAAAAATTTGAAAAGTTTCCATGAAAAAATAAGTCAAAGGACAAATAATACAATTGAGCCCAATATAGCTGAGGTCAACTGAACACAAACAAAACAGACTTGCAAACAAAGAACAAAAGGTTGCTTAAATGGGGGTGTAACCTAAATCTTTACCACATGAGGGAGGCACAACACAACAAAGGAACAAAAAATACAAAATTAGCTAAAGTAATATATGAAACAAAAAAAGGAAAACCAACCTTAGCTTAGCACAAATAATAAGTGACTTTTATAGTGATAAAATAAATAACTAAAGTCAGCTTTAAACCAAATCCCCCCCCCCACACACACACACACACACAAGTCATTTAGAAAAAAGAAATGGTATGCTCCAGGCTTCCTCCTCCAGCTGGTCTGGATTTGCAGCACTCCAAACAAAAGAACAAGTGTGAGTAAACCATTCTGACAAATATTAACTAAATATTTGTCACCCATTGGAAAATGTATGTCTAAATAGAATGACTGACTTAAACATACTGTAAGCTACAACTAATAATGTGAATTAAGAAAAATAAAGAAATACTAACACTGTGGTGGTGGTAGGAGCATCCACCACAAAGGAAAAGGAGCTTGATTTTTTTTCTCAGATTATTTGTCTCATACCATACAGTCAAGACATAGTGACAGTTTCAACAAATATGTAAAATTTTTTTTTTTTTTTTCCCCAAAAAGTTGCATGCAGCAGCTTTAAGTTCCATAAAAATGCTTGGTGGTAGCACTCCATGAACAGTCAGATTCTTTAGAGTGAGCTCTTGTGGTGTAATGTCCTTGACAATATTCAACATTTCTGAAAACCTGAATTTTGGATTTTTGTTGACTCTTCTAAATTTACAATTAAATTAATTGTAAAAGATCACTAATGAAGTGTCCTTATAAATGTGAGCTGAGTCTCTTTATGCCTTTTGCAGCATCAAGTTTATCCTCAGCTTTTCTCATGGGAATTAAAGCCCCATTGTTATCAACTTCCCTTTTTTTGGTAGCAATGTACACTCCAAATGCAAGATCATAAAAATGAGTAAAACAGCTGCAAACTGTGTGGGCAAAGACAATCCAATGCTCATCCTCACTTTTATGTATCTTCATGACATACATATATGTGTTTTTATCAACAGGAAACTGTAGTTTTCCTTTACATGGTGTTTCGCACTACCTCAGAGAGTCCTCCCACATATATCCCTCCCTTTCCAAAACGGCCCTCCCTGTGTCCTTGCACTTCGCCCCTCCTTTTGTCAAGTATCAACAGGCAAACTTTAAAAGTCCACGCCCCTGCGCAACTACTCTTATGCACATGCTAGTAGCATTTACCTTCAGCAGCTTAGATGAGAACTGTAGTGTTCCTTGGCTTATCTCTGAGGGGGATTTTCCTGCATTCTTGCTTTGATGAGCCATCATGAAAAGGAGACTTTCTGGCTATAAAATGCTTTGTATTTTGGGATGGAAATTATCTTAGACTGCACCATTATTTGGAAGATTAATAAGGAGTGGCTGTTTGGGTGTTTCTCAACACTTGGAGTGTCAGAGGTAAGGAGTCAGCCTACTTGAAGATGATGTGGGAGTGATCATCTCTTGCACACACCACTTCTGCTATTCTAGTTTCAACATTGACATCTCTGTTTACCATACTCCTCTTTAACCTTTCATAAACCTTATTGTATTCTATTTGTGCACTTCAAACCTTTCCTACCTACTCTATATGTCTTAGTCTTCTTACTACCAGCGACAATGGACCTAACTTTGTGGCAGTACCAGTTCAGGATCATAATGCTGGGAGACTCCACTGTGGGTAAATCGTCCCTCCTGAAGCGATACACTGAGGACTTGTTCCTGGAGTCAATCAACCAAACTGTGGGTGTAGATTTTTACGTTCACTTCCTGGAGGTGGAGCCGGGGGTCCGGGTCAAGCTGCAGTTCTGGGACACCGCTGGGCAGGAGAGGTTCAGGTAAGAATCATGTGATATGTAATTTAACATGTGCAAAGGTTCAGTCAATAGTTCCTCTACGCTGTTCGTTGTATGCTTATACCCACCAGCCACTTTAGTAGGTACATTGTGCCATTGCCAGGTTGGAGACCATTTTGTTCTAAACCACGGTTATTCTTTCTGGCATTTTTTTACAACAAGGTGACAGAAACATTCCTCCAAGATTTTAGTTGATATTGTCTTGATAGCATCACACAGTTCCTGCAGCTTTATCACCTGCACATTCATGATGTTAATCTACTGTTTCATCACCTTCCAAAGATCCTTTGTTAGGCTGAAATCTGGAGTTTATGGGGGCCTTTAGAGTACAGTAAACTCATTGTAAAGTTCAATAAACCAGCCTAAGATGAGCTTTGTGACATGGTGCATTATTCTGCTGGAAGTAGCCACCAGAAAATAGGCCAACTGTGGTCAACAGGGTCAACAATAATATTCAGTTAGGCTGTGGTATTTAAACAATGTCTATTAGTACCTTTACAAAGGTACTCACAGTACCTTTGTAAATATATCCACCACAGCATGACAGCACCACCTTCAGTGTGAACTGCTGATACAAAGCAGGTTGGATGAACGCTTACATGTTGTTTACACCAAAACCTGACCCTACCAGCTGAATGTCGCAGCTGAGCCTCATCGGACAAGATATTCTCCCTAGAGTCTCTACCTTTGTAACAAGTGGTAATTTGAGCTATTGCTGCCCTTCTAACCTTTCAAATCCAGACTGCCCATTCTCATCTGACCTCTGAAATTGTCAAGGTATTTTTTTTGTACACACAACATCCGGTCAGTAGACATTTTTCTCTTTTTTCAAGCCATTTACGACAAACTTGCAAGACAGTTATGTGTGAAAACCCGAATAGACCAGCAGTTTTTGAAATACTTGTTTAGCAAAAGAATCAAGCCAAGATGTTATATCTAGATACCTAAATTAATCAAGTTTCTGCATTGGGATTTGCTGATGGTAAGCAACAAACAGCTGTAGATATTAAACTTGTACAAAACTTCTGTAACCATCAGGCCTGATGGCATGACCCTGCAGTTGTTTTCATTAGACGGTTACCTTGAAAACACTATTCTCATTATGAACAGCATACAACATCAGGAGTGTATGCAAATACAGTGCCCAAACAAACTACTCCAGCCACTCCACTTGCCTCTAGGCTGTTCATCTGTGTTTGCTTTCAGCCATCACCATCTCAGTGTTCAATGTGTACAGAAATGCAGTCAGTGCAATTCTTTCACAGGGCACCGTTCTCTTCGCTCAGCATATTTAATGCAAGAAGTAGAAGTAGCCCGTTTCATTCTGTCTCTAAATTCATTATTTATGTTGTCCAGATGAATGAACTGTGACAAATTGCTCACTGTGCCTGTTTGTATTTACCTCAGCTCTGCAGTCCCACCAGTCAGCTAAAAAGAGATGGGGGAAAAAAATAAGGTTGCTTTTAATCAGATGTGTGTTTAATGAAGTAATAAAGTTGCATCAGTGGAAGGATGTCTTACTAAGCCTGTTCTAAAAAACAGTCGGTGACTCATGAGGGATCTACATACCTGTTGGTGGTTAAACAGCAACTATCAGTTTCCAACAAAGAGAGTGATTCTTTTTCCATCCGCTTATCTGAAAGAATTTAACTCGTACAACACAGTTCAGTGGAGAAGGAAATAAGCGAAGGATAATCTGAACTTTGGACTTTGTACTGAAATATTTAAAAGGTTTTTCATATGCTAAACATCCAGTGGGCATCTTTCACTTACTATCTTTATTCTCCCCCCTCTCTCACTTCTCAGATCAGTGACCCGTTCTTATTATCGGAACTCAGTCGGAGGCCTGCTGGTGTTTGACATCACCAGCCGGTCATCCTTTGACCATATAAAGGAGTGGCACGCTGAGGTGTGCCAGCGAGTGCAGCCACAGAAGGTTCTGTTTGTCCTGGTAGGTCAGAAGATTGACCGGGACACTCACCAGGAGAGAGCAGTGAGCCGGGAAGAGGCCCAGAAACTGGCCGGACAGCTGGGGATGCCCTACGTTGAGGCGTCAGCAAAGACAGGACAAAACGTGAGGGAGTCATTCGAGCTCCTCACTCGACGGGTCTACCAGGGTCTGTTGAGCGGGGAAATAGAACTGCAGGAGGGCTGGGATGGTGTCAAGTGTATTGCCCCACAGGCACTGCAGTTACAAAGAAACAGTGTGTCTAAAGCCAGCTCCCCAACCAAGAACAAAAACAAGTGCTGTGGGTAAATACTGGACTGACTTATAACTCATGCTCTGGTAGGACTGAAACAGCCTGCTGGCAAGTTGGATTTATGGTGGCGATGTAATGTATGACCACCCTAAAAGACGCTCAAAATATATATTTTTCATTTCTATTGTGTGGAGTTGTGTACAATTTTGTAAAATTACGATTTAATATTGAATCTAAACACAGTGAAAGCTACAATGATGGTTTTAGAATTTATTGCTTTAGCTGACATCACCAGCAGTCTGACATTTACGATAAACTGCAAACATTTCTATACCCCTTGGACTATTTAATATTTTGTCACAGTGCCATCACAAGCTAAAATTTATTTCATGTCTGTGAAGAGCAAATTTTCCCTCAAATTCTAAGATTGATTTAAGGACTTTGACTAGGCCTATTCTAACCCATTAATATGCTTTGATCTGTTTATAATTCCAATGCGTCTCTGGATGCGTTTGTGCCATTATTGCTCATCTTCATTGCAAACCTGCATCCCACTCTCAGTTTTTTTTGCAGATTTTTTCTTTCAGGATTGTTCTTGTTTAGCCCCAACTACTCTGGACAGGTTCCCTGTAAGCCACTGAAGAAGAGCCTCCATAGTATTATGTTAAAACTATTTTAGGTGTCACAGTGGAGATGGTGTGCAGTGTTCATTTGGCTTGTAAGTGATAAAGCTCTGTTTTGATCTCATTTGACCACAGCAGCTTTGTGTCTGCGTCTATATTTCTAGAGCTGATTTGCTAAGAAGGTTTCTTATGCCATTTTCTTCTGGGCACTTTTTAATGAAGGCCAGATTGGTGAATAGCATGAATTGACAGATTCCCACAGCTGTTACTATGAGCTTCCTGCCTGGTTCTTTCATTAATGCTCTCATTGTCTGACTTGTCATGTTTTGGTAGGTGCAGTGGAGTCTAACTGATGTTGAATAAAACAGTATTCCTTTGTTTCCACGATGCTGTTTGCTCACTAATATTCTCTACCAAACATCTATGTCAATTACAAGACAGCTGGTTTCTTACTGACATTTAATAACACACACTAGTTACCCTACTTATTAATTTGAAAACTGAAGTCCTCTGCTTTCTCCTGCTTTTATTCAGAGGTATCAGATTGGGGGTGAATGCAGTCCACATCCCACCTTTAAGATTTATATTTGTAAAAACAGATGTTACTGTCCATCCATTTGGAACAAAACAAGAAGTAAAAACACTTGCAGGGTCTGAATACTTCTGTACTTGAATTTAACATCCTCTCAAGTATAAGGTTAGCAGTTTCACTTATTTGTCAGTCTTTAAAGAAATTATATTACAAAGGACATCATTGTCGAGCATGTTATATTTTAGTATTAAACCTATCTTAAGGTTTGCTCTTGCAAATGATGCCATTTCTTAAGAGTTTTGTACTTTCGGACAGTTTTTTCTTCTTTCGCTGACATATGCTTGGCCCACAGCCTATTCTATTAATGGACTGATGATGTCATTAGTTCACCTCAGTTCAGTAGCAAAAGGGTATAAAGGTCTTACAGTTTGCTTTTTGCATAAGTAGTCTAAAAGATGTTAAAAAGCGGACTCTTTTGTGGACACATTCAATCTAAAACGTGGGCATTTTCTCTCCTATTGACTTTTTGTCATCTGGACTTGTAGCTGACACTGGATAAGTGGTTCCTCACTCTGAGAGTACCCACAAGAAATATCTCAGAGGTAAGAAAGTATGGGTTTAGTGTTTTAAAGGGAAACTATCACTCTTGTAAAAACAGCCAATAAATGATTCTTTGGTGCACAAACACACTGATGGTGTGACTAATAAGGGGGTTGAAAAGTTGTGGAAGCTGCTCCACTACATACATTCTTTTTCTTTGGGAGCTATTTAAGCATTTTCTGTTGTTTGCTGTAGGAAGTGGAAAAGGTACCAAATGTCCTTATTTAGATTAAAAACACCACCTTCTCATCTTAAGCCTAAGTGGGTGAAACAAAATTGACTGATTCCCAGGTGATGCTGTTAATATTAAATAAAATCTCTTGGGTGCCTCTGGATATTGCTCTAACAATTTTTCTCTACTCAATCAAGGGTTATATCCCTTGTTTATGTACACAATGGGGTGACTTCTTATTTTGTTAAGATGAATTGCAAGGTGTTAACAGCTGTTTCTATTTATTATATGTATACCCATAAGAAATCTTTATTATGGCTCCACTATTGTGGCTGTAGATTAAGATGCTGTGAATTACTCTATGCTTCATACAGCCAGAAGAGAAAACACTAGACTTTAAACTATAGTAACTTCATGAAGTAAAATTTTATTGATTTTATATAACTGTGACTCTTTAACACCTTTGTTACGTCTTCATATCAGATACAAATTCATTGCTACACAGTGCCATATTATTTTTATAATATAAAAATATCTCAGTAGAGATCATATCTCTACTGAAATGCTCACTTCTAAATGGTAGCAGAAACCCAACTAAATTATTATTTTAATTATTTTGTAAATTAAAATACATATAAATAGGAATTCTGCTTAGATACACTAATTCCCTCTCTATGGAGAGTTTCGCTCATGCACTAGTTTAACATGTAATTCACACTTAAAATCATTTTGCTTTTTACCAGCATCCTTTTATTTAGACACTGAAAATTCAATAACTGTCAGAAAATGGAAAGGGGAATACAAAGTACAGTGAGTAAATAGAGGAACTCTTCCATGCTTAACATGTACCTTGGCAAAATATTACAAATCATTTTTAGAAGGCTGAAGAGTCAGTAACACTCACAAAAACATGCTCAACAGTATCAAAAGCAAAACCAAAGACAGCAATATTAAAAAAAAAAATCCATACTTTTTTTTTTTTTTTTACTGGCAAAGATTTTAAGTTGGAGTTCTGCCAGTCTTAGCTTAGTGGTAATGAAACAGAACAAAATATGAATACCAATTTTCATATGATGATTTTTGCAAGATAGTCAAATGTAAGGGAGACAATATTACAATTTATATTCAGAAGGAAAAAAAAACACCCCTCACCATCACCACTTTTATTTCATTAACCAGAAAAAAGAGAACAAAAATAATACACAAAGTTAGTACAACATATTAGCTTTCTTGTGCTACTTTTTGGTTGTCTTGCGAATCAGTGCCATTCTCTGGAACAACAAAGATAAATTCATTAGCCTCAAAACACAAATATGCTGAAGTACATAAATAACTATTCTGATTTTCCCAAATGAACAAAATCCTGTTATTGTTTACCTGTTTGTGAGCCTCTGTGGTACAAGCTTTCTTGAACGGTCTGATTTCATCTGATCCATAACCTGGAATCCACATGTTCCACTGACGCTCTAGAGAAAAACAATATAAAAAGCAATCAGCACCCAGGTCTTTAAACACATACATTAATTTTCATATGAATATCTAAGCGCAGCAGAATCCTTTGACTGAGACAGAAATCTATACTAGAAATGCATTTCTAAAAATACAAAAAAAAATTCCAGTGATTTCTCGTTAAATATGTATTTAAATATCAATACCCTTAAATTATTTGGCAAATGACATGGCTTTGAAGTTTTTTGTTCAAAAATCTGAGAACTTTTAAAATATGAAGGGTTGCAATTCTGCCAAAAAGCCATCAGAAACTTACCTAGATGTAACTGAACATCTTTAACCTCCAGCGTATTGGATTTGCGATGACGTGCCAGCTGACACGCTGCTGTGACTACGCTTTCTATGAAATCATCTGCAATTTGAAGCAGCATCTGAAAAGAATCCCACATAAAAAAAACTCTTAAAACAGTTCAAATAATGGGCTTAATAACTTTAGTAAACAACAGAAAATGACATATTTTCAAAGTTTCTCTTCACAGAAGTTCTGTATAAATGTTGTGAGTTTGCTTATTTGCAGTAGGCAGGTGTATTATATCACAAAACAGCTGCCAGCTTTTATGTATTGGCATCAGTTGTATCAGTTTGCTTCATCAGGATAATTTCCAGACAACTACACAATAGGGTGTCATGTTTGATGCTGTTGCTTAATCCAAATCCAAAGATTTATTCCACTCTTGGTAGATTTAGAAGCAGACAGGTGATGAAATACACTGATATGGAAAACAGCATCACCAAATTTAAACCTTTGTAGCATTGTCACAGAGGTTGGTCCTCATGGAAAACAGTGACAAATTTAAAGTGTTGATGGTTAATATACAATGTGTTTATTTGCTGTATCCCAAATATAAACATTTTTAAATCAATAATGAAAGAAATCTCTTAAAACAAGGACTCTGTTTGAGTACCAAGTATGTCGGTAGTCAGAGAATTTCTTCAATTTCCTGAAAATTAATGGGAATGTGAAATTTGTTTAAAGGTTGGGGAAACTATTTGTGCCAATAACACAACAGAACATCACATCAAAACCCCGAAGTACACCTTAAAGGCAGCATTGAATTTCTGACAGACCTCCTCAACATCTTCATCCAGTTGTTCATTTGGATCAATTTCTCTCACTAGGTCTTGCAGCTTCTTCTTACTGAGGACCTGGAAGAAAAAAGTAGCATTCACAGTACTTACATTACATAGATATTTTTTTTCTAGATTAGCAAAATGATGATTCACTTGCTGTTCTGTTTAGAAACACAGAAAACCTGTCTTCAAAGTGGTCATTATTCCTTTGCATATTTTTTTTTTCACATTCCAGCAAAAACACTTTATGTCCATGTAAAAAATAATGTCTGCATTTTCATTTACTTCTTATTAAATACTTTGGCAAACTATGAAAAGCCTTCTTATTAGCAGAAACAAACAAAAAAAACAAAAATATAATAAATACAGGAAAAGAAAAAGCACTAACCTGAGATCCTTCTGGACTACTCCTGCCTGCGGGACCTGAGGTCAGACCCTTCACTATTATTGGGGTGCTGTTAGCCATGCTGGTGGCCACGGGCAAGGACTTTGGGAGTCCTGAATGACCGTCTAATACCACAGATGTGATGGATTAGCTTGTATAGACACTGCCACCTATAATCTGCATCACAGAAAGAAATGATTATATAAATAAAACAAGTCAGGTTTAAGTTAGATTGCAGCAAACATGTTTACGAAGAGTATTAGTGGAATAAAAGTATTTGTTCGGGTTTTATAGTAATAATAATGATAGCAGTAATATATAAACGACTTTAATGGCTTGTTCCAAAATGTTAAAGAATTCTACTTGATATGCTTTGTCAACAACCATACATCCAATTACCTCTACTTTTTTGATCTACTTAAAGCTAATCGTAGCTTAGCCGTGAAACAACGCTTTCGGGGAAAAAAATCCAAACAGAGACGCTTAACCCAAACTCAATAAATGATGTAACGCAAAAAGATAACAACTGACAGCCTAATAATTTCAGTGCAATGACAAAGCACGCAAGATGCCGTTAATAGCCAATCTGTTTATGCTAAAAACAAAAGCCAGTGTCAATTTTGACGTTAGCTTCATTGGCTAATATTAGCTGCTAATGTAGCGGTAGGGACATTATGTACTTTATTCTTTTAATGAGTTAATATATACAACCTTACCAGGTTAAATGAAGATTACCTGCCCATGTTTCATTGTCGTATAACGTACAAATTCGTTAGAAAGAAAAATAAACTCTTAGTTTTAATCCAGACATCCAAAAACAAATCACCGAGCTCTCACGGTACTTCCGCTAAGCTTCTGTCTGTTTCCTGTGTCATTTAGTCGCCTTTGCGCTGCCTCCTGCTGGACATTTTCTGGAAATACATCAACATTCTAAACTTCACCCTCAGAAGAGCGCTTCTAAATTTGTTGGCGGAAGTCATCGTTCTTTCTCTTTCACATAATGAGCAAAACACATCACACATCTAAGCAGGAAAATCATGGCAATATTATAAAAGGGTGGCAATAAATGGCTGATCCCACCTTAAAGTGTTTAGTTGTGATAGAATTTGTAGAACATGTCTATAATAATTCTGTAGAAGTTGTTGCCATTGTTATTATTGTTTTTTTTTATTATGTGATCTACTGTCTCCATGCTTACTAACGCATTTAATAATTATTGATCTTTAAAACTAGATCAATAATAGATCTCTTAAATGACGCAGTTTGCTATGGTGTGCGACCAAGACAAAACATTTATTTCAACTTCTGCTTTGAGCAAAAGTTCAAAATAAATGTAGCGTAAAATGCTGGCTTGTTTGGTGTTACATATCACGCCTAAAAACCACCAAAGCATGTGAGGGTTGGTTTCAATTTCAGGTGAAGATACAGAAAAACACCTAAACGTGGTAGGCGCTGTTCCGTTTAGATACAACTGACGCACTGAGAATAAATGAAGATTATTGGAGCAGCGACAGCTGCAGGTACTGCTCACATAACAATTCACGCATAAACGCACATCAGCTTAATATGAACCCCGAGAAATATTAAGCTGTGTCTCGGCTGAATAGGTAAAACTTTACCTATTCAGCCCGATTTATTTTCGCTTTTAAAACGAAAATAATGAGTACGGGCTTATAAAAATTCAAACTGTTTTGAACGCACTTCCTGAAAAGAAGAGGAAAGCCACGCCTATCCTGAGATCTACTAATACAAAGCAAACTTTCATTTCTGTTTAGTAGCTGCGCAGGACGTCAACATTTGTTTCTCAAACTCTAGAAAGCTTTTTCTTACAGCCATGAAAGCCCTTCTACTTGTTGCATTGGTGGTCGTGATTCATGGCACTAATGGTAAATATGTTTATTGTGTTTCAATGTTTTACAGTTGTTGTAAAAGAGCGTGGTGTGTTCTTTTTTACTCAAGATTTTGAGTTCATTACTCAAAAAGCCCATATTTTATAGTCTATTTAGCTTTAGAAAGATCTCGATTTGTTGTTGTCTAAGTAATTCTTTCTCTCGAGGAAACACTTTGTTTTCTCACCTGGCTCTCTCAGAAAAAGACAGGAACTTGCTCCTAGAAATATTGAGGCCGAATATTTTAATGTTTTATGCGCACTTGTTTAGTTAATAACAGCGGAAAATTTTGCGGAATGTTGTCAAGCCATTAGAGCCTAAGGTGGTAGAAAACTGGTCAAACTGGTTTCAGATCATAGCATCAACAGATGCATGTTTCAGGAGTGTGCTACAGATCTCAACAATGCATTGCAGATTGGTAATATGTACAGTCACAAGGTGGTTGGATCCCTATTGTGTCAACAATGCTTTTATTCATCCAAACTGTAATCATTAACCTGTATATCTGTTATGTCCATATGCAGCAACTTTGATCATCAAAGGCCCAACTGAGCCGATTCTGGAGGGCGAGTCAGTCACACTGGAATGCCTGTACACAGACTCTGACCTCAATGTCAGCCAGGTTCACTTTGAGTACCTTCCTCCGGTGAGTTGTGGTTGTTATGTGAGAGGGTGGAAATAATATGGCCTTAGGGTGTTTGCCAAAGGCTGAAGAAAAAAAACTGGACCTCGCAGATATGCAATTGTGCTGTAACAGGCAATATCTGTAACTGTTCAAACATGTAGTAACTCATATAGAGTCGGACTAATGTTGCAATTGCTCAGGGACTCCTACAAGGAAAAATCCTGAGGAGTTAAATATTAAATAAATGATATAGCAATGCTAATTTAACCATTTATGTCACTTGTGCTTGCGCTTTAAATGATACTTAATGCACACTAACTAAATGGATCTACTCTCCATTCTTTCCTGTGGCTTTGTCCTTTCCTCCTTGGCTTTCTCAAGTCAATGATAATGTTGTGTTGTTTATATACAAGGAAGTCCGCTTTTTTTATTTAGATTTCCCAGTTGGAAATACATTAAGAACATTACCTGAGGTCTGAATTGTGTCTGGGGAAGTTAGAGTTTTCAGAGGAGCCTTAACTTCAGTGTTCAGAAAGTCTTTGACATATATATATATATATATATAGTACACAGTGAAATCTACAGGTATAAACTGTTTATAAATATTTAAGATGGTTTGCATTCAGTTAAACCAAGGACACATATAGTTTGGTAAAATACTCACATCAGATGCATGTTTTTTTTGTATTTAAGCATGTAATGGGTAGAAGCACACTTTTATTGATTTGTATTGATAATAGTAACTCTAACCAAAACAATGATCAATTTCCACTATTTTACAACTTGCAACCTGAACGTCCTCTACTGTGGTGATTTTCTAACATCCAAGCTTTGCCTTCCAAGACAAATTAAAATGAAGAATAATTTAGACGGGAGTGAATCCCACATTCAAATTCAGTTTAAAGCCTTGGCTCTTTGAGATGTTACTCGAGAATTGTTTTGCTTTCCAGACCACTTTTGTACAATGTTTCACCATCGAAAAGTTCACTGAACTCAGCTCAGTCACATGATGTGATACTTCATACAGTCTAATTTGTATAGGTCCAGGTATTCCCCTTTGTTTGGGGAATTTTCCAGCTGGAGTAAAGTTCAAGCCATTCACTTTCATTTTACAGTAAAGTGTCATATTCCTATTACTTTTAGATTACAACCAAATTACTGTCAAATATAGATTGATATGTAAAATGTAAAATCTAGCAAAATACAGTGATGCAGATATTGCACTGTGTGCACTAAGAAAACTTTACAGTTTAATTTTAAAACAGTTTCATTAAATGTTATTGTCTCTTGAACACAGCACATTTTTCACTTGATATATTTTAGAGAATTTTTGAATGTTGCCTCTGTAAACTGAGGCAACTTTCTGCTTTGAAAGCAGATTGTCAAACATGCTTGAAAATATGCTTTCTGCTCTGTTTTATTTTGACTGTTCTCTGATCTGGTATGCAGATAGGTTTCTTTAATTAATTTATCACTGAGGCATTGTGGTATAAAGGTTATCTTATTTAATTCAAAAAGGCAACATTGTTACATATTTTACAACTGGTATTACTGGGTGGATCCAGATTTTGATCATTGTGCAACTGCACTCTGTGTGCTTCAACATTGTGCTTCCATATAGTCAGAAGAATGTAACTTCCGTGATTTTTGAAATTAGTATTTTATTAATCAAATGCCTTTGCATAGAAATGTAATATATCACCTGAATTTGGCTGATACATTTTTGCTGAGATTTTAAGTTAATCATAGTGCACGAAAGTCCATTAACAGATTAAAAGAGTGCCTTGTAATACAAGTACTCAAAACCTTTAGGATTTTTCACATTCTCTCACACTGAATCAACAGTCTACAATGCATTTCATTCAGCTTCCATTTGAGAAACAAACACTAAGTAGCTATAGCATTATAAGGGAGAGGACAGACTATGATTTTGCCTCTGCAAAAACTGACATATTTTTAACCAACTTTGCACATATGACGGCTGAAAAGTTTCTTCAGTCCTTTTACAAAATGACTAGAACTCAGCCAGATTTGGTGGAGAGGTGAGCATCTGTGAACATCAGTATTCAAGTGTTTCCAAGGATTATTGTGTGAAGACAACCAAGAATCTGTTTGCCAAAGCAATTTACAAATCAAATAGTTTGATTTTTTGGGTCTCAACTAACCAGAGCACACTCTATCACATGTTTGTTGTGTCTTCTTCGTAGTTTGTGGCAAAGGTACAAATGGTGCTTCTTGATTCTAACCCTTTGATTCTAACATAACAAATGTCCCCTAACCCTAACCCCTGTTAACGCTTCTGCGCTAACAGGGAGTTAACAGGGGGTTAACTCCACCCTGTTAACTCCCCCCCTGTTATGTTACTGGGACATAACAAATGTCCCACTAACAGATTCTCCTTTGAGTTTCTGATGTTTGCAGCTCCTCCATAGCTCCTTTGGCTGTTTCTCTGGTTAATACTCTGGCTGTCAGTCAGCCTGTCAGCTTCGGTGAAATATAATGTTTGAAGAGGTTTATAGTTCTGCCATACTCTTTCACTTTTCTTTTTAAATGAACAGTGATATGTTCAAAGTTCTATGTTTTATGACCTGACATTGGTTTAAACCTATCTCTACTATCTCAACCTGTTGTTATTTGTGTTCACAGTGCTTCATCACCCAAGTAAAATGTGCTGATACATGTTTGTGGTTGCTCGTGCTAAGATCATTTATAAGACACTGTAAATACTGTAGTATCTGAATTTACACCTGTTACGCTGTTTGATTTTCAGGCAGTTTGATTATGTTGTGATATTCTGAAAGATAAACCGTTATTGTCTCTTTCGTTTTTGTTTTTTCTCTTCTCAGTACCAGTACTCAAGGAGCTTGTGGCGTAAAGTTTGGGGGTCCAGCATGGGCAGGTGGTTTTGCGGAGGGGATTATTTTTACGGCGAGGAGGAGGAAAAAAGCGGACTTCTTCAGATTCCCTACCCGACAAGGTTCTCTGGGGTGCCCTTCCGTTGTGTGTCAGACAATGAAAACACAACTGCTCCAGACAATGCGTCTGAGCCTCTGACCTTCAAAGTCCAATGTGAGTTTCTTGGTTGCAGTGGGAGGGTTTGACTTATTGATGCTGTCCTCTTAAACTGTGCACATCAATGATATTTACAGTCAGATTTAGCTGTTGGTGTTATTAATGTTTTACAGAAGTGAGATAAAGATCAAATTATTATGTGACGCAAATTAACTAGAAGTTTCGCTCTTCAAAAAGGAAATGTGACAAATTGCGAGTTCCATTTCTAACAAAGAAGAACACATAACATTCCAACACAGAAGTTGTTGACTATATGACTAAACAGAAGGTGCCTGAAACATATGCCCTCGTGTTTGCAAGCACCAGGAAGTAAACACAATGGATTCCTCTCAGTGAACATGTATTTTGGAGGCTGCAGCAGTCATAAAACAGCACATGCTAAAGATCCAATGCAAATGCTGTTACCCAAGAAAGGTTGAGCTATTTTCATTTTGTGCTTTAGGCAAACATGAAGGCACTGCACTGGTTAGGCTCCGGTTTAAAACTACAACACCAATGTGGGAGACTTGCATTAAGTATCTTTTGTGTAGCTGGCCACGATTTGTCCTCTGTCTTCTCAGTGGCTATCATATCGACCCTGATGCTGTTTGATCGGCTCCACAGCCTCATGGGAGGAATCAATAGGAGGAAAAGATTAGAATGAGCTATAGGATGGAAGGAGGCAGAGAGCTGTATGGACGTGGGCCATCTATTGAAATGGAAGAGAAAATGAGCCATTATTCACAACACTGCCTCTCTAAAGACTTCGATAAGATGAAGCCTATCATCGTTACTATTGATCACTCGTAACAGTCAGCATCTATTGGAGGCATTGGAGGCCACATGCTCTCAACTCTTCTTGAAACATCTGAGATTGTTCCAGATACTAATCCGGACAACATATGTTTAGTCACCTCCCAAATAGTCAGACAGGTTACCTCAGCATGCGTTGAATTAGTTGCTTCATTAATGCCTAATCATGCTGTCTCATCTGCACTGTGTCTCCAGATATGAGAGAACTGTCGGTGTCCATGGAAGGCTACAACAACTACCTGGGCGTCCCGCAGGACCTGAAGGTGCGGCTCGGGGATGATGTAGAGCTGAAATGCTCGGCAAGCTCGTCAGAGGAGCCAAGCTACTACTGGCAGAAAGAGGTGAGAAAACCTCGGGTATGCACACAGTGCTGGTGTCCTCATTATACTTTTGGAAACTTGTCAGTCTCTCTTCCTCCTCCCATCTCTGGATGTGACCTCTTTATATTTTCTTTTTACCCTCTTCTCTTTCCAGCCTCACCAGGTCTCTGCCGCCCTCTTGGCTTTGTGCAAGCCTTCTATTAATTGTCTCTCCTCCTCCAGCACATCTCTGTTTCTCTCCCTGACTTTCTCAAGTTTCTTTAGTCTCCCCTTGCTTGCCGTCTCTCTCTCTTTAAGTGACTGGTTGGCTTAGCCTCACCTCTCGCTGGGAATTGCAAGCTTGCCCACTTACAGAGGATTAATAGTTTAATGAGGTCTAGACAAGAACCAGTCAACCTGAAAACAATTATGTGGATAGATTTCTAATTATTTTTGCAGTGTTTGGTTAACTGGCATTGAATAATTCAGCTAGGCTCTTCACTGAACTAAGAAAGTGTTGCTGAAAGGAAATTAAGATGTCTCGCTTTAAAATGCCAGAGTGACAATTGGCATGTAGAACAAGATGAATCTCTCTGACTAATCACATTTTTGAAGAACACGGGTAGGCAGGTGATACACCTAGTACATGTGGTGGGTTTTAAAGGTACAGGTGCCTAAAAATAAGTTAGAAATTTTGCATTTTGGGGTCTGGTGTCTCTTATTTTCATCTTCAAGATGTTCCACAGATTCTCTAGAGGGCTTCGGTCAGGGCCAGTCAAAGCATAGTGATGCCACAGACATTAATACAACTATTGGTACTTTTTGACAACGTGGACAGGTGTTAAGTCTTAGCTACTCCTTATCCATTGGCAATGATATCTTTGTTTCAGGGCTGACTTGCACAAGAAATATGACATTTCATAACGGTTGCTCTGACTCTAGCTGCAGTCCCCTCCTTGTGACTATTTCTTTCTCAATCCTCTGGTTATGCTAATTGATTGTGAACCTCTTTTACCAAAGTTCACAATTAACCTTAGCAAAAAAGCTCTGTCAGCTTCATTAGCAACAACCATTTGGGGCTTATTCTCCTTGTTGAGAGTATTGATGACTGCATGAGGGGGAAAAAAATGTTTTCATTGGTCTTCTGTGACCAATAAGTAGGATTTAAAGTTTTCATTAGTTGAAAACCAGGGACATTAAAATTCACACCAATAATTGCTTGAAATACATCTATCCCTCTTTGTGTCATGAACCGATAAAAATGTTTGAATCTTTGGTTGTTTTGTAGTTTGATTTGATTCTAGTTTCATTATTATTTTGAATCGTTTCTTATTTTGGTTAGATCAGTTTTTCTTTAGATCAGTGCTTTCTTAGTGATTTCAGTTTATTATGTTTACTTTTGTTTCTAGTTATTTTTAGTTACACTAGTTTAATTATGTTTAGTTTGCTNTACTNTTAGATTTATTACGTAATTTCTTGCGTACTCTCCCTGAACCCCTGTGCCACTTTCTCTCTCTTTCTCCCTCTTCTCAGTCTGTCTTCTGCTCTTTCCTCTCACAATCAGCCCCTGTCCATTGTTTCAACACTTAGCACCTCTTTCTCAGTCACTCCTCAATGGTTCCTCCCATTACTTCCTCATTCTAACCCGTGTTCTCCTCGTGTCTCCTTGCTGGTTTGTTTTCCTTGGATTTTTTGGTTTGTGTTTCTGCCCTGGATCCCTGTGATTTCTGTTCAATTCATTGGTCGCCTCTCTCTCTCTCTCTCTCTCCATTTGGGTCCTGTATCAGCCATCACCGCAACATGTCAGTAATATTAGTTTATTTATTTTTTTATTGAATTGCTGTAATATATTACCTAATAGAATAGATACTTAATTGTGAAAATTTGGAACCTGCCATTTACATCAACTTATGAACACCAAAACAGAAAAGATCTGTCAAAACACTTTTAACCAAAAAAACATATAATATAGAATTAAAAACGACATCCCCTGTAGTTCATGGCTTTCTGCATGTTATTTAATTATATGCCAGGATAATCAGTTTCTCAAAAAAAAAAAAATCTTTTGGCACAAAGGACTTTTTTATGTTATTCCTGCATCTTCACTGTCAAAAACTGCACTATCTTAGCAAAAATGTCTCCAAATCCTGTTTATATTTATAAGGGCAGATATGTTTGCTCACTTTTCTCATTTTTGTTTTCATTCTCAATACGTTGACTTGGGTTAATGCTTCCTAAAGGGTCATCACTAATCCAGGTTTTAAATGGGTTTACAAGTCCAAATCCAATTCAGTGGACTTGTCACAGCGCTAAATCTGTTTGTCCTCTACATGATCTCATATAGGGCTTTAAGGTTTTTGTCATTATCTGCCAACAATGCTCTGCTGTCACTTTTAGTGAGGAGTAATAATCTTAGAAAAGACAGGCTGGTTTTGTATATATGAGCTTTCAGAAAAGTCACATTCAGAGAAATAAAATGGAGTCATAGAAGTGTCTCTATTCACACGTGATTAGAGGTAATTTTTCTGTAAACGTGCATAAAAACCCCTCTGTGTCTTTGACAAGAGTGGATGTTGGGCAGAAAGCGTCCCAGTTTGACAGGCAGGCGGTGTGAGTGCTTTGGCCCCCAGAAATGACAGCAGGACAGAGGCAGGAACGACATACTGCTTTTGGGCGCCAGTGGATTTGCATACAAAATGCTGCTTTGGCCAGACCTGGCCTTTATGGGAAATCCTCTTAATTCAGATCCATTCAAACTGAAATGGACTTTCTTGGCAGGAACTGTAGCTCCCAAGAGCCAAGTCATTTGCATGGTGTAATGTTTTTTCTTTGTTGTTTCTTTTTTTTTACCCCACTCTTCTCCATTCATTGTTCTTCCAATCCTCGTGTTTGGCCTATTATTTGTTCCCCCTATGTTAGGCTCTACCTCATAATAGTGCTGCTATATCTGTGTCGACAATTCTTGCCGCTCCCCTGCCATCTCATTATGTGTTGTGTTAACAGTGAGCTCTTGCAGCATCATTCTTCGTGGATGATGCTGTTATCTGGGTTATTGACTTGTGTCGATGTAAGTTTGCTCATTGGGATTACTGCTCAGGTAAATAAAGTTCATTTAAGACTTTTGGGACAGCTCCCTGAAAAACTCACACCAGCAGAACTTTTTTGTATCTCTGTCTCCATCAGAGTTTCAATATTTCTTTTCGTCTTGCTCTAATTTACTATGTCCCACTGCTCATCCCTCTGCAGAACACCAAAAATAACTACTCTGTTCTCCATTACCACCTGTTTTCCCTCAGATTTTCCTCACTGTTTGTGTTTGACATCCCCGAGTTTCCTCTTTATTTTTCTCCTTTGTCAGGGAGCATCAATTGCTCTTAATTTGTATTCTTGCAGGGCTGAAAACAACCTGACCAATATAACACTCCCTTTCTTAAAACCTCTTTTCTTTCCCTTTCTTGCAGGGTAATGACTGGATCCTGCCTTCCTCTACACTCACACTGAAGAAGGTGAGCGAAATGGATGAAGGACAGTACACCTGCATGGCTACACATCCTTCTGTGAAGTCCCTCACCAAGAAGCGCACCATCAGCATCACCCTGCTGCCTGGTAAGTTGGGCGATCGTTCCTCGTCGTCATCCTAGCCAAGTCCTAAAAGTTTTTTCACCTCTTCCTCTTTCTGAAGAAAGACTGGGCTTTTCTTCACAACTGCATGGGGAATTCATTTCTCAAAAGAAATCTGTGCTAATCTATTGGTTCTTCTATCAGCCACTTAAATGTCACTGTAAAGGTCAGCTCATGCGGATGTTCTTGCATCATGAGACAGGTACAAAAAAGTTTTCTGTTTCATGTCCATACATTTATGGGAACCAAGGGAAAGTTAGGCTTTCATATCGAGGCAGAAGAAAAAGGATGTGATGTTCCTCAGAACTTCCGGAGGTAAAGATGTTTACCAAAACTCCCTACGTAGAATGGGTGAGAAATAAAACCGCATGTAAAATGTCATATGAGATGATCACATATGACAGAATATACCCTACATTTAATAAATGCTCTAACAAACTGCATCACATCAAAAGTGTGAAAATTTTAAGATTTAAAGAAAGCAGTTATTATCTATGACCTTCCAGTGTTTTTTTCCCCTTTTGACTTAATTATTAGGTCAAATTCATTAAATGTTCACATCAGTTGATTTAGTAATAGATTCAAATATAAACATGAAGTAAATATTAATTTACAAAAATGAATATTCATTTGCACAAAAAAAATCTATTCAAAGTTTTTAAATAAGAGAAAAATATTACATACAACCAATAAAAAATGTTTTAATTAAGAAATCTAATGTTATCTACACAGTAAAGAGAAATAGTATTTCCATTATTGTAGAAAAAAAATGAGATGATTTGAGACTGTCACCTTCCACAAGGAGGGTAACCCACCAAAGGCCAGAAGGATTGTGGTCACAGGAGGGTTTATCAAAGTATACAAGTGGAAAGTTGGGTGGAAGGAAAAAATGATAGAAAAAGATGAACAATCAATTGGGATAACTGCAGCCTTGCGAGGACTGTGAAGCATAGCCCGTTCATAAGGTTGGGAGAAATACATAAAGTGTGGACTGTGGCTGGAGTCAGGTATCACTGACCTGTCTGTTGTTAATTATTAATTTACTGCAGTTTTAGAATTTTCAACCAATAGGATTTATTAAATTACTGGTGTTAAAGTAGTGTGTTCCAATTGGGATTGATGAATACCACTGCCATGAATCATTGGTGCTCCTTTTATGTCTGGTTATTTCTTTGGAGTAATTATTAAACTCATCTCTGCATATTGGAATGTTATGTGGTCCTCCCTGATGTCTTGGAGAGACTTCACCTCAAACCTCTCTGGTTCCTGAAGGAGTCCACTACATCAGCTGCACAAACCTTAGGCAAATATTCTCTGTGTGACTACACAGCAATCCTCTTAGCACACTGTGCACAAGAAGACAAAGGATTTTTTTCCTGCATTTTTTTTTTCAGCATTTGTTTGTTTTGTCCAAAACTGCAAAGACCAGATTCAGAAAAGTCAATTATTTTGACTTTTTATGTAAACTGGAAATCCTGGAACTTCCAGGGTGTAATCTCCCGTTTTTTGTTTTTTTTTTTAGAAATTCTAACACGCAGACTTTGTACAGGTCAGTGTGATGACTTGTGTGAACACCCGACATGGTTTCTCTTGTATTCAAGCAGGGAGTTGCCTGGAGATACTTTTTGCCTCGAGGTATTATGAGGTGTGCTGATTTTAGATTCTCTGTCATGCACGTCTCCCTTCATGTCTGTCCCACAGAGGATGCTGCCTGGTATGAGACTACTAATGGGCGAGTCTGGTTGATGACCTCCGCGGCTGCAGCCTCTCTGGTCGTGTTCATCCTCTCTGTGAGTGTGTTCCTGTGCCGCAGGGCCAAGCAGGTCAGGAGCAGCAAGGGCCCCATGTAAGTAACCATTGTTGGAATTTTTGTATCTCCTTATTTTCCAAACAGGTGTCTTCACATACTATAAAAGCCTCTGGTTTTAAACAACACAATTCAGATTAATTTCCCTGCCAATTCAGAAACAAGTCAGCCGCTCCCAGTCAGAAACAACCAATCAGAGCCAGGGGGAGGGTCTTAGAAGTATCAATCTCACTTGTGATATGTTATACTGTCATGACATGGTGACAGATTTAAGAAATATGTGAAAAAATAAATAAATAACTGGAACAATAAGCAGCATTTCCCTCACACCCTTTGTTTTGAGATAAGAATAAATTTTGATGCATAAATTGGAATAATTTTGCAATTCCTTCATTTTAGCTGTGATTTTAAGATGCCACCTTTCCAAAACAACTTGCCAGACATTTTTAATTTCATGGCCAGTGTTTGTTACATTTAACTTAAACAAAACCTATACAGAAGAGTTTGCACTCAATGTAATCCCTGGACATAAAAAAAATTGACTTGTTAAAGTAAGCATTGACAGATTAGACAAACTGAAATCAGCTGTACACTACACACCCATTTTAGGTGTTAAATCCTTGCAGGATCATATTTAGGGAATGGCCATTTCCCCCCAATTTTTGCCCAAAAGTCCCCAACTCCTGTCCAAGCATCACAAACACTGCATTTTGAAATAACCCTGCATTTTTTTTTGAGTGCATGTATTCAACCTCTCTCTCTCTCTAACATGCCCAGATTAGTTTATTTGTGGAAGAACTAGATTCTCATCATATAAACAAAGCCAGGGAGGAAGGTGATTTGTTCAGCTGCTGTCTGCCTCCTTTTCACAGGAACACTCACTGAGCCGCCGCTTTGAAATCACTTTGGTTAATAGGATCTTAAATCATGTTTCAAAAACTGATGGCTAATATGTCTTTGAATAGAGGTGAATGTGTGTGTTTATTTACTCAAAATTGCTTCCCTTTTTATCCACTACTTGGATCTCCCTCTTTGCAGTTTGCCTTTATTTTAGTTATGCCTGCAATATTTCATTTTGTCATGTGGCAGAACAAAGGCTATTTCATGTCCAGAGTTTCTGTTTGGTGTCTGCACCTTTATTTGAACCTGCCGTATGATGTCGGCTATGTGTGAGCCAGCCAGCACAACCCAGACTGAATATTAAAAATCGATCACATGTAGAGACTCTCAGCTACTTTAGCTTTAATATTGGTTAACCAGCCAGCCTCATGAATTCTTAATACCAAATCCATCTTATAAGTTATAAATAAATGAATTTCATCTAAAGCTTACACCTTGCTATTGAGTTCTTCATGGTTTCAAGTGAGAAGGAGTAATTTCTTATTATGGCTAATATTTATGGAAAGAATCTTATTGCAAAATCCTGTGCCTTGCAAAAGATTACAGAGAAAAACGTCATGTCTAATAATCGCATTGTGCTTTTTGTGGGAACAGAGTTGATCTGAAGGCAAGCACTCCTTTCTATAAGAATTAAACTGATTAAATTTTATCACACCTCCGGTTGATTCTTAAATGTCAAAAGGAAGAACACGTTTGATGCTTTGAATAGGACCTTTAAGACCTATGTCTGTCTAAGAAGGGGATACAAAATGGGAAATGGAAGAAGGTTACAGTCCATCAGAGAATCCACCATCAATCACATCAATGTCTGCTCAGAACAAAGTGCCATTTTGGATCTGAAGCATCCTGCTGACTTACAGGAGACATATGGCTGTCTCTCTGGCTTAAAGACACTATGGGACGGAGAGGACAGTCCTGCACGACAGTGATGTTGTTCTCTGTTGTTACCTTCACTTTGGATTTTGAAGCATTTTGTTAATGCAAAGAGGGAAAAAAGTTACTGCAAAATGTACTGGAGCCTGAAACACAGGTCCAAACACACCTTCTCTTGAAATAGAAAAATAAGTGTAGCATGCAGTGTAAAGGAGATTCTTGTTTTGGATAAAGATTGAGGTTTTGACCAGTGCTCCTTTTCATGTCAGGAAACATGGAGGGCAGACATTCAGATGCAGGTATAATAATGTTACTGCAAATGGAAACAAAAATGCAAACTTCATAATCTGGTATTTTGTTTATTAAGGTGAATAGCAGCTTAATAAGCAGGTAACTTTCCAACAATTTAGAATGCCAGATAACAGCCATTGATAGGCGAGTGCTAGTTTAATGCGGATATTTTTTGATAACTCATGGTTAATTTTTTCAAAATAATACAATGAGGATGGCAAACTGAAGGTTGCTTGCTAAACTCAGTAATTGTGACTCATTTGACCTTTCACATATTTCCGTATAATAGAAATAAAATATTTTTGCCTGCTGTTATCTTTGCCTTCCAAAACCATACAAATGTAATGTGAACACTATTTCTCCCACAAAAACAAAAGTTTTATCCTTCATGGCGACGTTTCCTTGACTCTCTCCCATGAGTGTTTCTTGTGAGTATACAAGTAGGTGTGCGCAAAGACACTCAGACAGCACAGAAACGGATAATTGACTTTCATATCTACAGCCACGTGTGCCTCCAGCGCTTTGTTACAGCCTATAATTTCCTCACTTATACTTTTTGAGTGCCTGCTGCGAGATCGATCCACTGATAATCTTTCTTCTCCGTCTTTCCTTGTCTTCCTCTCCGCAGTGATGACCACTCTCAGAAAAAGCCTATCTACAAATCAAGTGTGGAGTCCCTTCCCTCCTCCAGCGCGGACAAACAGCCGCTGGTGTGAATGCTCAGGCGGGGCCGCGGGATGAGAAAGTCGGAGCAAGAGAAGAGAAATGGGAAGCCACGAGGGGGGGAGCGAGAGGGGGAAGTGAATAGGGTGAGGTAAATGGGGATATTGGAAGACTGTGGAGAAAAAAATCGAAATCAGTAACAAGCTGGGTGTACAAAATAAATAATGAAACATAGTGAGGGGCAAATGATTGCTTTAGTGATGCCGTTGCAGCTTTGCTTGTGAGTGTAGACTGCAGTTATGTATCTTGAACAGAACCGTTTGGCAATTTTCTTTTCATTTACTCTGCAGTGGGGAAAATTGTAAGCTCCACCTTTGCAAAAATGAAGATGAAGATTCTTCTGCTTAAGAGCTGCAAAAGCTCCTTGTACAATTCCCTCCTTTCAGGTGCAAGCATAATTGCTCAGCTGTTTATCATAAATGAACTATTTAGGTGATAAGAGAATGGTTTAGAGTGTTGATTTGTTTCACTGTCAATTTTTTTTTCCTGTTCCCAAAAGAGGGACCATCATAAAGTACTTGGGGAAGGTTATTAGAATCTCTTTACTGTGGCAGCACTCAGCACTTCCCACTTCTAATACTGCACTTTTGGATTTCTTTGACATTAAATGGCTTTTAAAAAATATTATTTACCCACCTCCAGTGTGTCATTGATTTTGTTTCATTTTAGAGGTATAAAAAAAGGGTCCGGGGAGTATTGACAATGTGGCAAAGGCCGGACATGCACACTCGCTTGGCTGCACATCTTCTCGATCCTGTGTCTTCCTAGGTTTGCATCAACCTGTTTACTGACCTTCCTCTGCAGTCTGAGAGGTTTTACTCTTAGGGAATGATCTTTACTTAAAGTTATCCACTATTGTTCCCCCAACCCCCAACCTTTAACAAGCACAAAACTCATCCACAGTGAGCTTGACAATAATTGCATTTCCAGTACAGAAAATAAGAATCACCGTAGGGTCAAGTATAACCTTGAAACTTATCCATCTTTTACAAAAGCTGCTGCTACTTCTGCTTCGACTTGACTAAATTTAGCCTTCTATGACTTTCCAAAATACAACCATCGTATACAACAACTTCATCTTTTTAATTTTCTCCTCTGTTGCTTTGTAACCCTTACCACTGCATAACTATTCCTTATTACCACAACTGTGCTCATATTGCTGAGAATTTCATTACGCCTGTCCGTTGAAGTTATGTCGGATTTTATGCGGTTTTATTATGGGTGTGTGGTTGACCGTAGGCCGTTGTTAATAATGGGCAAAGGAGCGGTTTAACAATGACACTCCATTAACTGTTCCATGCGCCACAGAGCACAGCCCTGGATAATGTTATTAAACTGATTATTCAAGCCCCCCTGTACAGCTGCTGCAACTATCCTTTGTTGAGACTTTTGCAGACTTTCTCCACATTTCTAGTCATGAAGTAAGATCCTGCTTACTTCATGGCTCAGGTCTGGCCTTGCTGCGGAGACCAAAAATAGGAAAGCCCTTTAAACAAAACAAGGGGAAACTCAAAATGCCTTCCTGCATGTTAAATGCCAGTGAGCACCTGGTTGTTTTGGCCTTTGAGTCAGTCATGAGTGAAACCCTGAGCGCTTATAAGTTGTCTTTTTTTTTTTCTGAGGCTTCAATTGAATAGGCTCAAACGACAATGTTATCAGGACTTTGACACAGAAGAGCTGACCCTAAGGTGCAAGGGTCTGATTGAGAGGGAGGAAAAACAGTATTCTACAATAACTTTTTGACCTCTGCGGTGCCCCACGGCTGAACCACTGGACAACATCTCAGATGGAGGCAAGGCCAGTGCAGAGAATACAAAACAGCTCAATTTCTTTCTTTTTTTTCAGTGTTGCCTAGAACCTCTATGAAATATTTGTAAAAGCCTTAAATAAATTGATCTTTTATTTATGTAGTACAATATCACACTAATAATAGAATCCAACCTATTTAAGTGCATTTATCAACTGGGGGTAAAAAAAAAAAAATAAAAAAAAATCAAGTTAAGATATATTTTTTCTTGTCAAAATAACTGCTGGTGCACTTACAATATTTTTACATGATTTTGCTATGATCTAGACATTTTTGTAATGTTGTAGTCAAAGTGTTGGTTAATCAGTCATTCCAATTTATTTCAGAACTTGGAGCTGGAACACATCCAAATTCTGGTTTCAGAGGTAAACAGAACACAACAGTCAGCCACTTTTGCCTGATAATCAAGCACAGTAGCAGATATTGGTGGTTTTGACAGCATAGGCATGTGCCAAGACCTGCTGGTAAATGAGATCAATGTCTCCATAAACTCCATCAACAAATGGAAGCATGAGTTGTTCTGTAATGCTCCATTTGATGGCTACTCTAACTTTTGACTTCATAAAACCCAAGAACATGGCATGACTCTCAAAATCATCACTGGCCATGAAAAATTCACACCAAATTTTAAACACGTCAAATTCTGTACACCCTGAGCTTTTCTCAACACTCTATCACACTTCTTCCTTCCACTGAGCTTTACGCTAATATTTAAAAAGTCTGCAAAAGAGTGAATTTGTGGTTTTCATAAGCTGTAAGCTGCAGTTAGGAAATACATTGCATTATATCACTATGTTCATGCATGCAATTTTAAAAATTGTTTTAAATTGAAAATTACAAATTAACTTTTGTCAGTAATTGGGATGTATTTGTAAACATGACGTTTCAGATTTGTAGCTTTAAAGTCGGCAGCTCTTCCCTTCTGTATTTTCAGTCTGGTATAATAATCTTGCACAAACCTTTGCATACAAGGGAGCTATACATGACACTTATGTGGCTGAGGCACTTTGTTTCCATGTGCCACTGACTGCTGCTGTTCTCGTCACGGTAACTTGGTTTTGTACGTGCATCCCGCATATGCTGAATGAAAACGGCTGAAAATGAAGGAGTGCAGTTAACGGGAGAAGCAGGTGTTTTTCCCTCATTACTCCCTGACAATAACCCATCTGGTGCAGGAATGGGAGCTGCTTGCCACTGTTTCCCTGCCAACCTGGGAACAAACACTCTGGAAAATAGCTGACAAGGAAAAATTGGATGGGTTAGGAATTAGAGAATGAGTGGGGCAGAAATTATCATTTGCCAAAACAACTGAGTTAAAATGTGTCGAAAGAAATTAACGTGCTAAGTGGGAAGAGCATGAGACTGAGACTTTAAGGCTGTCTGGCTGATCCGTCAGGAGAGGTAAGATATGAAAGTTGAGAGCAACTTTATGAAAGTCAGGGGTAAAAATATTAATATCAATATACCACTTTGATGTGTTACGGCCTGAAGGAAATTCAGTCTACTTGAGCCAAAAAGGAAAAAAAATGTCTGGAGGGTTTATGACAGATGAGAGGCCAAGGCAGATTTTAAGACATATGACATGTCATTCCAGCTTTTACCTGCAGGGGGCGAAAAAGATACAGTTGAGGGAAAAAATGGATGATTCAAGCCTCACAGGCTCACAAGTACATGGTCCTTTGACAAGATTAGGGGAGGGAAGAGTCAGAGATGAGGAAAGAGAAACAATTTTCATAATGGAGCAAGTCTCTGACTGGAAAACACAATTATGGGCGAAGTGTGGCATACGGGTAAACTTAAAGAGTCCCTTTAACAGGACCTAATAGGCCCTGACTGCAGATAACCAGAAAAACAACCTGCTCCTTGGAGCAAAAGTTTTGTTTTCAGACCATTGCAATCGTTGTTTCCAAAGATTTAGCCAAATAAACTGAGATCACTCAAAGCACGGATTGCATTCATGAGTCCTTGTTTGGAACAAAAGTCAGTTTCTTCAAATTGAATGTTTTTTTAAATTAAAAATAAAATGCAACAAGATTAACTAAAGGGGTAGAGTCAACATGTTTTGATCACTAAAAAAACAAAAGTAATTTATTGTAAAGTTAAGTCTTGCAAACAGTGGAGAGCTTTCCACCTTGATAAAAATAGACAATCTACTCAGCATGGCATTTATGAAGGGTCGGGTCACTCAAGCTTTGCGAATGCTTAGGTCGCCTGATGGCCTTGCAGGCCCCAAATTCAACAACATCCTATTGCCACCACAAAAATGTGTTAATTAGCAGATAGATCAAAGAAGAAACTTTTTTCCCCTTAGTTGCACGTGAATGCATAATTAAAGATAGCTTCTCTTATCTTGACTGGTTTCTGCTTAAAAACTAATGTGAAGTGAGATATACATGGCATTACAAATAATGCCATCCAGCCAGTTTCATTTACTATTCATTTATCAGGCTAGGCAAGTTTACTTCTATGGCAAAATTCACACAGGATAATTCAACATAGTTTTCAGGAAAATGTATGATCACAGGAAGATTGCATAAAAAAAGGATAGATAGCTCTAAGCAGCAATGTAACTAATGAAATGGTGAAAATGAAACAACAAATTAGTGAGGGCATAATAAAATAAACTGGTGAACGTTAACTGACCTTCACCAGGCATCCACTGGCCTTTTGAACATGAAACAATATTATAATAACTACAAATAAAAGCATACGCTAGTTTTACTGGATCCTATTTTGACAATGAACCATTTATTCTGACATTTTTTAAACAGGCTGATTTAGCAATAGACATTATGTGGCTGTTACAATTCTTGTGTGAGTCCGTAAATAAGCCAAGAAGCAGTGCCGTAATGACGTGACGTTGGCTCCGCCCCTATGCGGAAGTAGAGGAAACCTCCAACAAACCGCATTATAACGGCAGAGGTAGAGGAACTCAGTGCCTTACCTGAAACATATTTTGAATCATGTTTGCTTCATCAGCCACAACATGCAATAAAATTCTCCAACAAGTTGTAAATCAGGTCTATAAGGTTATTTGCGGGAAACAATGGAGAAATCAACGATAAATCCCAAGTCTTTCGCCGCCAGAGGAATAATGAGGGTCACAGTCTCATTAGATGTGAGCGTGAACGCTGTGTCGGACGCATTTTGCACATTCAAAACGGGTGAGTAATGACTTAAATAATACCAGCTTGTGAAAATCTGCCTGCAGGAAAATACTTAAAAATAAACAACAGCATAAAAGGGTGCTTAAATGTAAATACTACAGTTACTTAAAGTATGTTTTCATGCTGCCATAGAGCAGCATTTTATGGACTTTTCACATAAAATCAAACATAACTTCCTTCATTTATTATTTGATTTGTCTATCAATAAGTGTTGTTTTGACAAAGCATTGGATGTTTACTACCAGTTACCTTAGATGAACATGTGACAGTTGCCATCTTTAACACTTTGTTCAATTGGATATGAGGTCGGCTGCAGAAAGTGTTTCTATCATTCTATCTAATCAACTGCATTAAGTTAGAGAAACATTCTGACCCATTCCTTGGGGAAATGTTATTGATACACTATCCATAACATTAGTTTGGCACATTCAGTTACTGTAAGGGACAGTGGTCACGGGTTGATGCAGAAATATAATTAGGTGTCAACAGCATACTGTATGATTTGTAAGAGATCTGTCATATAATCTGATCCTTATAACTTAACAGTGACCAATAGTAGAGCCATGAGGACTCCCACATATAATCTTTGTTCGTTCAGATTTATAATTACCAATTTATGCGCTCTGTATAGATGCATGTTTCCTAATCTGTAG